ATCTAAAAACGACAATAACATTGGCCGGCGACAGCCTATGACGTCATTACCCTGCGTGATCACAGTATAAAAGGGCGCTGGGATAACACGTCATCCTCTTCTTCATCTTCACTGACTGTTTGTTTATGTTAGCTTAAGCTAAAGACGACTAGGTGTGCATGTTTTCTCGCCAGAGGCTTTGCTCTGATACCTGCAGTTTCACACGGCTCGCGTGCTGTGTGTATGTGTGTGGTGAAGAGCAAGCGCGTTCAGCTCTTGAGGGAGTTGGATGCGCTCTGCATTCATTGCTTATTTCTTGTGAGGGATAAGCATGAATTGAACGCGCTCGTCTCACGAGGAGACGGCTTGTGCTCATCGTAATGCATTCATGGGACTACTGAGGGGGATGTGAGTACTTCACCATTTACCCGAGTTTGTAGATAGTGTTTGCATGAGTGCGTTCGCCTCTCGCGGGAATAGCGATGCATTCGCGGCAGCGGTTTTCGTTCTCGTTTGAGTTCCGAGGTAATCTAGCGGTTGGGCGGAGCGTGTTTAGCTCCCGCGGGAGCTGAATGCATGCTGTGCGTTGCAGTCGCAGTGCGAACATGGAAAGGACCTGATGGGAAATTTCCCCCTATCAGTAATTTCCTTTTGTTTATATAGGAAGTGTATAAACAAAAAAAACAAAAGTGTGGATCTGTCTGCAGTTGTTGGACAGATGATTTATATCATGTCCTTTTCAGATAACCACATTATACTGCACTCCGGCTTGAAGTTTAAAAAAAAAAAAAATCCATTCTCGTCCCGCATCCACAGATTCCAACATACTAGTTATGCCAACATCGAGGGGATGCGTGAGAACGGTTATGAAAAGATGCCCCCTGTTGAAGAGACGCTGGCCTGCTATCTCTATATAGGGGAGACATCTTCTCTTAAAGGAGACATATTATGCCCCTTTTTACAATATGTAATATAAGTCTCTGGCTGGAAAAGTCCGGGAAACATTTTCATGATATGTCACCTTTAAGGCTCCCTCCCTGCCATCCAAACCCCTTCAGTATACATCTTGTTTGAATGGCAGGGCATACGCGACAGCAGGTCAGGCTGCAGTCTCGTTGCACACCATGGTGGTGCTTCAGGCTTTTCAAGCTGATCTACTGAAAGACCTGTTTAAAGGCAGGGTCTATCCCCTGATGAGGTGGCTGAGTTGCGTCGCACCACGGATCTTGCTCTCCGTGCCACTAAGCAGGCCGCCACTGCCATTAGCAGATCCAAAAAAATGGCAGCCATGGTGGTTACGGAGAGACATCTGTGGGTGAGTCTGGTGGATATTGGGTCGAAAGAGAAGGGCTTTATTCTTGATGCGCCGGTTTCCCCTTCTGAGCTTTTCGGCACTTACGTCGAGATGGTGGTCGTGAAATTTAAGGAGGCCAAGACGCGTTCGGCTGCCTTTAAATCCTTCATTCCACAAAGGTCCAGGCTTCGGACTTCGCCTCCAGCCTATATCATGAGCCTGAGTCATGCGCGGGAGCCATGGTTGGTGAGTACGATCCATTTTTATCTACTCTACTGCTAGTTCTTGTTTATTCGATGCTAGCCTTTCTCTGCAGCGCTACTCGGACCTGTTCTGTTTTTCTGACTTTTAGGTTTGACCCACCTGCTAAGTCAGGACCTCCTGCTGTTGACCGATTACAGTGATGGTTTCACTCATCGGTTCTGGTTCCAGGCTGGTGATAGCCCTCATCTTCGGCTTGGACATGCAATCTGGGCTTCTCAGGAAGTCTCCCAGCATCAGGTCCCCAGTATAACGCTGCAACCTCAGGACCTGTGGGTCCTTCTCGTGGGCTAGTACTCTTCTGAGTACATGCTTCGCGACATGCTCCCTATCCTCTGGCCAGGTGCAACTACTCATTTCTCACCCTGGGTGGTCTCCTGAGATTTGAATCGTTCCTTAACCTTCATGCACATTCTCTGAGTTAGAGCTCCTCTCGCTGAGGCGTTGAGGAGCTCAGCGCCCCATAGACGGTCGGGCCCGTGGGTCCTCACTGTCACACTGCCCTTATGGTTGAACCAGTAATCACCCCTCTGCGGAGTGGGCTGGAGTACACTGCATTCCCTGAGGTAAGAGGGATTTGTGTTTCTGTGGAAAACCCTCTTTTGTGCTTCTGCTCTGAGGAGCAAGAGAGCATGAGACCGTGTCCAGCTGCACCAGTGGGCTGTCTCTTATTGGGCCCTGCTGGGTTACGCCTTCTAATCTACTGCCCCCTTCTGGTCGAGCTGAGAAGTGCTCCCCTCTCTGTGAGGGTTAGCAATGAGTCGCTCCCAGTATGTGCTGTAAGGGCTCGCCTCAGCTTGAGAGCTGAAAGCACTGCTCCCGAAGGACCCCATTTGCAACGAACTAAGTGTTAGGTCCGTCTCTGTCGCCTCCTTGGTCAGTTGCCTTTATGTTGGGATCCTGTTGTTCCCTTAGAAATGTGTGATCCCCTTCTAGCAGGATCCCATTTCTGATGTCCCATTTGCGATCTATCTGCC